TAAAATGCCTATGCATATGGACACATAGGCTAACAGATGTGTGTTTACAGGCAGAAAACAAATGCCTAATGCCTGTAAAAGTGGCATTTTCTTAAGTTCAATGTGCATGAGCTCTTTAAAATACAGAATAGCAAATATTTAAAATATGATAGTTTTACAGAAAATCAGTTTCAGGTAAACATTATAACAATACATACATTTGAACTCTGTAAAATAACAGTTACCTTTGAGGCACAGCCAAAAAAGCTGAATCCTGGCATATTTTATACCTTCAGAGCATTCTCAGCATAACAGAGCTTCTACTAGAAAAGAATCATGTAACAGCACTAGACTACACACTCTAGAACTGGTAAGAATTCACTAAGCAGTTTGAAACTACATGTATTAAGTTACTACAGTCAGGTCCATAAATATTGGGACATCGACACAATTCTAACATTTTTGGCTCTATACACCACCACAATGGATTTGAAATGAAACAAACAAGATGTGCTTTAACTGCAGACTGTCAGCTTTAAATTGAGGGTATTTACATCCAAATCAGGTGAACGATGTAGGAATTACAACAGTTTGCATATGTGCCTCCCACTTGTTAAGGGACCAAAAGTAATGGGACAGAATAATAATCATAAATCAAACTTTCACTTTTTAATACTTGGTTGCAAATCCTTTGCAGTCAATTACAGCCTGAAGTCTGGAACGCATAGACATCACCAGACGCTGGGTTTCATCCCTGGTGATGCTCTGCCAGGCCTCTACTGCAACTGTCTTCAGTTCCTGCTTGTTCTTGGGGCATTTTCCCTTCAGTTTTATCTTCAGCAAGTGAAATGCATGCTCAATCGGATTCAGGTCAGGTGATTGACTTGGCCATTGCATAACATTCCACTTCTTTCCCTTAAAAAACTCTTTGGTTGCTTTTGCAGTATACTTTGGATCATTGTCCATCTGCACTGTGAAGCGGCGTCCAATGAGTTCTGAAGCATTTGGCTGAATATGAGCAGATAATATTGCCCGAAACACTTCAGAATTCATCCTGCTGCTTTTGTCAACAGTCACATCATCAATAAATACAAGAGAACCATTTCCATTGGCAGCCATACATGCCCACACCATGACACTACCACCACCATGCTTAACTGATGAGGTGGTATACTTAGGACCATGAGCAGTTCCTTTCCTTCTCCATACTCTTCTCTTCCCATCACTCTGGTACAAGTTGATCTTGGTCTCATCTGTCCATAGGATGTTGTTCTAGAACTGTGAAGGCTTTTTTAAATGTCGTTTGGCAAACTCTAATCTGGCCTTCCTGTTTTTGAGGCTCACCAATGATTTACATCTTGTGGTAAACCCTTTGTATTCACTCTGGTGAAGTCTTCTCTTGATTGTTGACTTTGACACACATACACCTACCTCCTGGAGAGTGTTCTTGATCTGGCCAACTGTTGTGAAGGGTGTTTTCTTCACCAGGGAAAGAATTCTTTGGTCATCCACCACAGTTGTTTTCCGTGGTCTTCAGGGTGTTTTGGTGTTGCTGAGCTCTCCAGTGCATTCCTTCTTTTTAAGAATGTTCCAAACAGTTGTTTTGGCCACGCCTAATGTTTTTGCTATCTCTCTGATGGGTTTGTTTTGTTTTTTCAGCCTAATGATGGCTTGCTTCACTGATAGTGTAAGGGACCACCAGGCGGTACCACTAGCACTCCACTGGCCAGGCGTCCCCAGCGCACGGAATCTAAGCCCCAGGGTACGTGTTCACCAGAGCCCCTGATGGTGGGGATGGACTTGAAGTACCCCGAGACCAGGTCGTGGCTACTGAGCACGCCTGTCAGTGGTAGCGGTATTCGCCAGGGGCTCCCGCAGGGAAGAGCCTGATGTGAGGAGGTCGGGTGATCCCGTCGGGATGGATGGATGGATGGCTGAGCAAGTGCGGGGTCAAACGGGCCGGGTCGGTAACAGTGGGGACGGAGCAGTACAAGGCAGCGGGCAGAGAGTAGTCGGGTCACACGCCAGGTCAGCAACGGAAGGTCAGATCCAAACGGGGGCATTCAGGAGAGAGGTCAGGCAAAGCAAGGGTCTGGGCAGGAGAAGGCAACAAGGTCAGGTACAATCCGGGTCAATAACTTACTTAGAACAGGTTCGCAGATACAGGATACAAGGAAAGACCAGAAGGCACTGAATGACAGCTCAGGGCCGTTTAAATATCCCGCCCTGCGCTGCCATTGGTGCCACGCGCGCGCCCGCGGTCCCCTACTGCGCATGCGCGAACTCCCTCGCCGCGGACGGCCAGGTCTCAGTGCCCGCATTCTGACACGGGGCGGTGCACTGTGCCTACGCCGAGCCCGTCGCAGCGGGGATTCCTGACAGATAGTGACAGCTCTTTGGATCTCATCTTGAGAGTTGACAGCAACAGATTCCAAATGCAAATAGCACACTTGAAATGAACTCTGGACCTTTTATCTGCTCATTGTAATTGGGATAATGAGGGGAATAACACACACCTGGCCATGGAACAGCTGAGAAGCCAATTGTCCCATTACTTTTGGTCCCTGCATATGTGGGAGGCTCATATACAAACTGTTGTAATTCCTACACCGTTCACCTGATTTGGATGTAAATACCCTCAAATTTAAGGCTGACAATCTGCAGTCAAAGCACATCTTGTTCGTTTCATTTCAAATCCATTGTGGTGGTGTATAGAGCCAAAAATGTTAGAATTGTGTCGATGTCCCAATATTTATGGACCTGACTGTATATCTCTATTAGAGAGGTTTTGGTAAATAACTTGCACCAGTACTAATTATAGCAATGCAGCTGAGCTGTACATAACAAGAGGTACCGTTAAAGTTTCCACGAGTCAGCTAGGAAAGAATTATGAAAGCTTCTAAAACGGTCAGGGTTAGTTAAGTTTATTACATATTAAAAAAAGCAAAGAAGGAAAACCACAATCTGAATACACCAGGAGAAGAAACATCATCAGCACTTATATTGTTATTATAACAAAATATATTGCTTTAACATAAGAGATTTCAACTTTTGATAAAGTAGGTAAGGTTGTTTTTAATAAAGGGTTATTTCTCAGCATTTCTCAACTACTTCCTTGGGCTGCTAGCCACTCTATTTCACCAGTCCAAGACCTAAAAACCATGTACATTCTATACAATTAATGGTTCCTGTACTTTTCGAGTCGCTGATCCAGATCAGGAACTCTCACTTCACTTACTGATCTACACACACTGTTCGGGATCAATGCCTCTCAACATACTGAAGCTGCACTGGATATGCATGACAATGTGATAACTAGTATTTTCAAAAGGATGCAAAAAATAGCCCCTGGTGGAGACGGCGTATTCTGAAACCCCAGGCTTCTTCTAATATTGGAGAACCATGAGAAAAATGATAAGCACAGACTACCACGTGCCTACCTGAAATGTATCTACAGCTTTGTACCAAGTAGTATGGTCAAGTTTATTCTCTTGCTATCCTACAGGTTTAGATTGAAAATCCAGTAGGACTGGTGTGAAGCTCCAAGGAGCAGGGTCCTTCTAGGATCATGGGGCCCCTGTGTCCTTGCCCAAACTCAAAAAAGCCTATGAAAAAGGTACCAGGGGCATCTCATGGGGCCCCCTACTGACCCCAGGCCCTCGGGCAGTGCCCGAGTTTCCAAATGGTCAGTCCGCCCCTGGTTCCTGTATTGTCTCCTGTTATATTGTAAAGCACTGAGCAAACTGTTGGCGCTATATAAATCCTGTATAATAATAATAAAATCTGAACAATTTAGGATATAGTTGCAGTTTGGTGAATGTCTAAATACCGTATGGCAGTACTTTATTACACTTTATTTACTACATGCTGGTCAGATAACATGAACTGTACACTCTATGGTTTTATTTTTCTTAATTTTCCAGTCATTGTCTAAAGTGTACATCCAGGGCTGCTGTTAGAAACCATGGGGGCCCCAGACAGCCAACCTGACAGGTCCCCCTTAAAACCCCCCCCAAAAAACAGTTTACTATGCTTCTGTCAGTACCAATCACTCATTTTGTTCATTCAGGGAAGGAAGGGGGCTGGTTAATGTCACATATTTATCAGAACCTTCCCCCACTCTCCATCCTGAAGGATCCTATTGTGTGCTTGCAGCTGCAGGTGGGATGGGCAAGGAGGGAAGCCGGCACTGTGGGGTGAATCAGATGGGGATGAAATCATTTTTAAAAAGAATAACTCAGGCTCCTGCACAGTTTTCCTATAGCTATGTGCCTGTACCTCTGTATGGGCTGTCAGTTTCAAAGCTGCTGGAAGAATGAATGGACTTTGAGCGTGCTCATCAGCGCCCTCGCAGTCCACTGACAACTACAAGCAGTCTGCCGCAGTGGCAGACAGGACTTACAGTTCATTAATTCATATATCTCTGTGAATTAATGGAACAGGTGTGCAGATGCAGCACTCTACAGTGGGTGGGGGGGGGGGGGCCCGGTAGATGGGGGGTGCTGCATAGCAATATGATACATGTTACACCCCAAATATGGGTATAACATACAGCATGTTACTAAAGGTTAACTAAGCTGTTTTTTTCTAGTTTTTATATCTGATTTCATACTATATGCATACAATCCTTGTTTTACAAATAAACATATCATACATGACAAAGGATTCCCAGAGAACTATGGGCTATTGGAAGAGACAGCACTGCAGGAACAACCCACCTTGAGGCAGGCTTTGTCTAACTGAAATTTTGGATTGAGCCATTTTAAGGAGTCACTACAAACTACAGTTTGAGCTATGGAGCTCTGCAAACACTAGTTTTTTTATTAGGTAATCTCTGGAAGACTTGTGAAAAGGGAGACCAGATATCTAGAACAAAACCCAGTACACAATATTTACCTGACTGAAAAAAAAGTATGTATTAATAAATTGTACCTTTCATTCCTGACCATATAAAGATCAAAATAAGATATGGAATACAACAATGAAAATATGAAATATTTTGCATGTGATTTAGTACTTACCCTTTAGGGTCTAATAGATCTCGAACCTTCTCATTGTAAATTTCCATATAAGAGACTTCCACTTTGAAGGTCTGCGAATCATTTTCCAACTCTGTAGCTCTCAGAAATAAAGCACAACAGAGTCGTGGAATAAGGCCGGGCTGATCAGCTGTTCCCATCATGGAGAAAGATTTTCCTGAACCTGTAATGAATACAATATAAAATATCAAGGATAAAATGTAGCATGACGTATTCACAGACCACTCAACAGAGAACTGTACTGATCACCATATACTGCATTGCTGATCTCTTCAATGGACTCAGTATGTAAATCAGGGCTTTTTACTTTATTTGCTGGTTTTTTAAAGGCTGTCTTCAAGTATACATAAACTCCCTTCAATCCCTACCTCCTACACCCCACCTATCCATTTAACAAGTGAAACAAAAAATGCTAACAGTATTTTTTATTTGCCTGCTGTCAGTGACCCACTGCAGTGCCTGTCCTAGAATAAAGAGCGGTGATTTAACAGTGGCATATGGGCATACAGCCGACTGGAGTTGTTGTTGCCCCTTTCTTCATTAAGAGGTCCCCACCGCTAGACAGCCATTGTGAAGTGTCCATGTCAGGCACAGGCAATGTGAGCACTCTAATGCAGGCCATAGATGGGTCGTTAATCGTTCGATTTTTCGGCCGAAAGAAAACTCGCCCGATTTTCATACCGTTAGTGGATTAGTTCGTCGACGTTTTTCGTGTATTTTGCACTTTCAGATTATTGGTTATGTTGGGAAATTTGCGGCCGATTTGGACGATCGGAAGATTTTCCTGGCAATGAACGATGATCGTTTTAACAATAAAAAATCTGTGCATGAGCTGTGACCTGAAAGGGACAGAAGTTATGGGGTGAACTTTATGATTTAGTCGGATGATTTTTTTATTTGTTGGGGGTAACGTCGGCTGAACGAACGACCGATTTTTCGTTCGAAAAATTGGCCGATGTTTCGACCAGTCTATGGCCTGCATTAGACACCCTTCCACTCTGCAGTCCAGAATAGAGGACTCAAGACATTAGTTCATTATGTGACCGCAGATTTAGGTGCATAATGGGGCTTTTAGTCTTATGTATTACAGGTACTTATATAGCGCCATCAATTTATGCAGTGCTTTACTTATATATTGTATATTCACATCAGTCCCTAACCTTCAAGGAGCATACAATCTAAGGTCCCTAGCTCACATTCATACATACACATACTAGAGCCAATTTAGACAGGAGCCAATTACCTTATCAGCATGTTTTTGGAATGTGGGAGGAAACTAGAGTACCCAGAGGAAACCCATGCAGACACAGGGAGAACATGCAAACTCCAAGCAGATTTTTTAAAATTTAAATCCATAATTTGTTAGGGAGGTGGGAGGTAAAGGCTGGGTGTGTGGGGTAGGAAATAGGCTACCCAGACATCAACTTGGACAATATTCCATTTATTTTTGTTTTTTTTATTTTTTTTTTTTTTTTTATATTAAGATGTTCAAGGTTTATTTTTCTTAAATAATTTTGATATTTACATTTAGATCTTTCTTGTGTCCCATTTAGCTTGCATTTACAAGAATCATCCTGTGACCGTGTCTCTCCTCCGTTTATTGTAATTGCATTGCCTGTGAGCAATTTTTTTAATCTTTATTGCCTTCCCTACTCATTTGTTCAAGAAGGTGGTAAAACCTATTTAACAGTGATTCATTTCTCTGTGTAAATGTGCTATGAGGAAGGCTGTTACAGCCAAAACGCGGTAGAATATTACCATTGTGTTTTACATGTAGCCAATAAAGTATCTTCATTTTACAGATTATACCAAGTGCTGGCTCAACTGTATTTTAGATCCCTTGGATAATATTTCCTTTACGACAAAAAAAAAAGCTACTGATCTTATTACTAAATGGCTAAATGGTTAGCACTTCCACCTGGCAGGACTGGTTCAAATCTCAGCCACGGCACCACTTGGCTGGAGTTTGCATGTTCTCCCTGTGCCTGCGTGGGTTTCCCTCCCACACAACAAAGACATGCTGGTAGGTTAATTGGCTCCTGTCTAAATTGTTCCTAGTATGTGTATGTATGAATGTGAGTTAGGGACCTTAAATTGTACGCCCCTTGAGGGTTAGGGACTGATGTGAACATACAATGTATATGTAAAGCGCTGCATAAATTGACGGCGCTATATAAGTACCTATAATAAAATAAATTACGCATCAAAAATATATAATATACACTATGGAAGTTTCATTTTTTTTGTCCCAGTTTTTATATATGTTGTACAATGTATATTTACCTACCTGTTTGCCCATATGCAAAAATACAAGCATTGTATCCCTGAAAGGCATTATCAAGAATTCCTTCCCCAAGGCACTTGAAAACTTCTTCTTGACCTGCAACATAATACAGCATTTTAAAGCTTTGTAATATATTCTTTCCTGTGATACCAATAACATGCTTTATGTCTTTCAAAAGCTGATAGAAAAGAACGGAACACAGAACAGTGCCTCAGTCTTCTTGAACGTGTGCCAACTATGGTCAATCACCGAGTGTCATTACTTCCTTTCCTCTTCCGACAGCTGAGATGAAAGTGTGACTGGCATACATTATGCAGCTACTGCACAGCGTATAGTGCTGATGAGGTGGAAAAATGATCACCGCCTGCACCAGCCATCTGATTTAGATCTGACCTACACAATCCTTTACCATCTCACCTACTGATGCACATTATCAATGACTGAAATAACTGCCAAGGATATCATTTACCTTGACAATGTCATTCTTCATACCCGGTGTATTAACCGAAAGATCTATAAAGGAGAATTTATCCAAACTGGAGCAGCCAGAATCTAGAGCTGCTGTGCAAGGCAACCAATCAGCTTTAGGTCTTTCATTTTCAAAGCTCACCTGAACAAGCTGAAAACAGAAGTTGGCTGGTTGTCAGGCATGGCTGCTCCAGTTTTCAATATATACCCCAATAGTTTTCCGATTCAATTGTTACAGTTTGGGAGATATATTTATTATCATCAAACTGAGAATTACACAAGAATTGCTTAAAGTGTTACTAAACCCACAACAGCAAAATCAGTCTGTATATGCAGTAAATCATGCTTGTTATACTCACTGTGGAACCTAAGGGGTTAATCCTCTGCATTGTGTAAAAAGGCGTTTTCTCTGCCCCTTCTCTTGTGCAGATGTCCACCTGATAATACAGACTGAACCCGTAGCCACATGCACATGCTCAGTTTAGTGTGTATTGGTAGAAAGGGTTTTTTCTGCTTGGGAGAGTGCATGTGATCATCACAGGGCCAATCAGCACTGTCCAGACAGAGGTCAGGGGTTTTGCATCCTCCTAGAGCAGAAAGAAAACTCCTCCTACAAGCTTTAACCAGTGCTCTGCTGAAGTCACAAGACCGCTCTAAATGCTGATGAGAAAAGGTATTTAGCAGTTTATATCTACTAAAATTGTATTTCCATATTGTATGTACTGTGGGAGACCAGATATAGTGAATGCAGGGTCCTGGGTTGAGTAACACTTAAAATGAAGATAACACCGCTTCAGACACCCAGGGCTTTTTTTCCTCGGAGAATAGGTGCAGGTACTCCCCGATTCCAAATCACTCTTCGTCTCTACCCCCTACCTACCTCCAAGCACCGTCCCTTTGTGTCAACTCCCACCCACCTGCCCCTTTCAGAGAATACAGAACCAAGTATCAGTATTTTGTGATGCTAAGTAATTTGTATAGTATTTGTTAATGATAACAAAAAAGCAGTAAAATAGATCCCCCCCTGCAACAAAAAAACCCTAGGAATAGATCCACCCTAGCAACAATAGACCCCTGCCAGCAACAATAGATCTCCCTGCAGCCAGTATCACTAGATCCTCTAGCAGCCAACAACAACAGACCTCTCCCTCAACATCAGATCCCTCCAAGCAACAATTGACCCCCCACAACAAAAGACCCCTCCCAGCAACAGGTGATCCCCTAACAGCAACAACAGGCCCCCCCAACAGCCAGCATCAATAGCCCCTCCAGTACCCCGACTATCACATACATTCAGTAATGGAGGTGCCAGAACTGCATTCCCCCCGTGTTCCCACTGAAAAAAAAGCTCCGCAGACACTTCCGAGTTGATCTTTAACTTAAATTATAACACCTTACAGCTGAAGTTTAGCTAGACAAAAATCCCCAACTGCTTCAGTTGCATCATTTACCTGCAATGAAGTATGTCCCACATTGTGCAGGCAGTTGGATCCAGAAGAAATCTTCATTGTAGGGATGCCGATCTTCTTCCTGTCTCTAAATTTATGGAAATGGTTACCAGCTTCAGGCCTTCAGGCAGAACAGCAGTAAAGATGGTCTGACAGGGACATGCCCACCCATCCTTCTTCCTCCTTTATTAAGAAAAGATCTTCATTGATTACAGAGCCTGTAATTCACAATTTGTGAATGAGGAAGAGTCTGATTGGTCACAAGATTCTCTCCCCCTTTCACAGTCCATGTTATAAGCAATGTATTCAATGAAATAACTTTTCTCATTGGAAGAGGAGGAAAGAGGGGGGGTGTCCCTGTTGGACCATCTGTACTGCTGTTCTGCCTAAAGACCCAAAGCTGTTAAGCACTGCAACACCAGAAGTTCAGAGCAAGAAAGAGGACAGGCATTCCTGCAGTGAAGTTTTCTCCAGGATCTAGCTTCCTGCATAGTGTGGGACATAGAGCATTACAGATAAGCGATGTGACCAAAGCTGTAGGGTTTTTTTTTTCACACTTCAGTTTTAAAGTGTCTATATTGCCAAAACTTTTTTTCATAGATTTGGGCAGAGTAGGGAATGGACAGAACCTCTGTCAGGGCTAAATTCATCCTCAACCATAACCATAACCTCAACCATAATTTTACTGGTGATGACAGACAGAAAGTGATGGGAAATCTGGAATTTTAAAGTTGTCACCAGAGCAGGTGAGGCTAAATCTTCTAACTGGGACACCTGTTCCTGTGACAACTGTCTTAAAGAAAAACTTCTAATTCCCAAGGAGATTTTCTCTGACTTCTGGTTGAGTATTAGAGGTTCAATCCTTTCCATACTCACCATTTACTATAAGTAAGGACATGTTGGCTGAAATTTATATATAGTTTTGTATCCTTACTTACAAGTTTAAAGATTTTTTGATACTTTAGATGCCATTTCAAGAATAAATGATAACAATATAGTGAGTCCTAGGATGACTAGTGTAATAAAAACAAAATGGATTTTTAAAAACAATAAACATCCCAAATATCCCAAATATAGAGTGTATGTAAGAAACTACTTAGGCCCCAATATAAAGCTAGATAAAAAAACACAATAATATATGAAATTCTTGCATCAAAAATATACAGGTGCAATGTTAGCCAATAATTGAGCATAAAAATCGCCAGCAAATAATAACAAAACATAGTATAGCATTCACAGGACCTGCATAAAACAGCAAAGTTCTTCAGAGTTTCAAAAACATCCCTGTGGTGTTCCCCTACGGGGGAATGGTACACAATTCAAATGCTACAATATATACTGTATGAGAAATCTGTCCTGTAACAATCATTGTGCAAGCTTCAGATGTACAGATGTCAAAGGCTTGATAATTGTATCTATAATTCACTTTGACATATATATGTGCAATCCAGCATGAATGTGTTAATACGCAACTCGTATCACAGAATACAGATTTATTAAAATAAGGGTTAGTAGGCACCCATAAGTATCTGTAGATGTAAATGATAAATCAGCACTCTGCACTGTCAGTTACAATGCCATATGCAGATTGGTCTCCAGATATTGCTTAGAGTCCAAGAGATCTGTAGCCAGCTGTAGGGATAAGCAATGCAAATGACACAGAAAAAATAATGTCCCACAGGGTTCAGCAAACTACCATCATTTATCAAGAATATGGGGCCAACCCACCTACAGTGAAGGAAATAAGTATTTGGTCCCATGCTGATTTTGAATGTTTGCCCACTCACAAAGAAATGATCAGTCTAAAAATCGAATGGTAGGTGTATTGTAACACTGAGAGACAGAATAGCAACAAAAAATCAAAAGAAATGCATATCTAACAAATGATGCACTGATTTGCATGTTTATGAGGGAAATAAGTATTTGATCCCCTATCATTCAGCAGGATTTCTGGCTACCAGGTGTCTTTCATACAGGTAACAAGCTGAGATTAGAAGCAGTCTCTTAAAGGGGGTGCTGCTAATCTCATTTTGTTACTTGTATAAAAGACACCTGTCCACAGGAGCAATCAAACAATCAGATTCCAAACTCTCCACCATGGCAAAGGCCAAAGAGCTGTCCAAGGATGTCAGGGACAAGATTTTAGACCTACACAAGGCTGGACTGGGCTACCAAACTATCGCCAAGCAGCTTGGTGAGAAGGTGACAACAGTTGGTGCAATCATTCACAAATGGAAGAAACACAAAACAACTGTCAGTCTCCCTAGGTCTGGTGCACCATGCAAGATCTCACCCATGGAGTGTCAATGATCATGAGAACAGTGAGGAATCATCCCAGAACTACAGTATATACATTTGAGGAGGTGTGAACAATCATCCATAATGTTACTGGGAGCACTGATTCTTCACAGCTCTGCTAATGCTGGACCAGTAGTGTCCTGTATCAGGCTGTGCACTACAAAGCAATGCAAAGCACTAAAACGATACATTCAAGCAAACCATGGGATGGTATCCTCTTGTCCTTTAGCGGTTTGCAAGGCAAAAATCCACAGTAGCTACAGAGGGACTAGCAGTGAATTACAGTATGCCCCACATGGGACATAAACTAATAATGGGTAATGATGCTAAGCAACACTTGGTCATTTGCAAACTACAACAAAACCACTGTAACCCTATTCCCAACATTAGATACAAAATATTGAAACAATGCGCATTCAGCATAGATATTGTGGCAGAAAAAAAACACTTATAAAATGTGACTTAATAGAAATGTGTATTCTCGCTCACGTATTATCACTCTGTATATTTTCATTTACCTTTACTTCATGTAAATTGATTATATGTCCTTCCACCATTGTTAAAATGGATTTTATAAAGTTGCTATTTCTATTCTGTAATGGAGGTTTTTAGAGGTTTTAAAGTAGAACTAAAGCCTCATTTTGTTTTTGCACAAGACAGGATAGCATAGAAAAATTTGGAAATTTTATTTTAAAAAGGGCCTGAAACTCTTACTATGGGATACTTTCCCGCCCCAGTGTCCTGTCCTGCTACTTTTTTCAATGGAGGAGGAGGAAAGAGAGGGCGTGTCCCTGTTGGACCATCTGTACTGCTGTTCTGCCTGAAGACCCAAAGCTGTTAAGCACTGCAACACCAGAAGTTCAGAGCACGGAATAGGACAGGAATC